CGCAGGCTTGAGCTTCAACGACTTATGCTTTTCTGGTCAAGGGCTACCAATGCCAACCCTAAACCCTAAACCCTAAAAACAGTGGCATATTGGTTAACAATGCCAATACCGGTTAGGATCAGCAATAGGAGTCCTCCCTCAAATGCACATAGCAGTCACAAGTGCAAATAAGAAGAAGAACTCCATCGGCTTTGAGATCGCAGTGATCAGTACTAACTGCGACAAGCACCAAGCCCGAAACCTTAAGTTCTAAACCCGGGTCTATAGGAGTTCCATAATAGGGGCTTTAGGAGTTGTTAGCAGCTAAATAGAATCGGGCAAAACTATACAGAGGGACTATGAAGGAACACTAATTCCAATTTGCTGAGCTTCTATATTAGGTGAAGCAGAAAACTATGGACTTCAGGCCCACAGCCCGTGCGCGCGTCAGTTGCACGCAAAGACTCGCTGCAAAACTTCTGAGGAAGGCCTGCAAGCTTCGGTACTTCCGAAATGGGTAGGCGTGAACAATTCAAGGACATAAAGACCTACCAAACACGCCCCCAATGCAATGTCGGGACCACAAACCAAATCTGTTGCTAGGGACTGTATGCTAGAGGGGGTTCTTACTGATTGTGCCACACCTCTATGCTCTCGCAAGATCTACGCTCTTGGGCATTTCCGGGAGTGCGCTTGCCAAGTCCTGCATGCCCAAGCTCTCGTGCATGTACCAGTATAGTTTTTTGGCCCTATAAAGCTATTGTAGGAGCTCGACTGCCTAAGTGTACAATATATGAAAGTAAAACTATGCTGCAAGAGCTAAGAAAACTCCGACGACCAAGGTCCGGGCCACTTGGCGTGAGTGCCTCGGGGTTGCTGTTCAGTGAAAGTGAGCCTAAACCCTAAACCCTACACCCTGAACCGCGCAGTTTAATCCTCAAGGAGTGCGAAAGAGCATGCTCGGCCCCTACGCCTCGAGGGCCTTGGGGGGCGGCACAGTAAAGCCTCTCGATCCCTGAAGTATCCAGATGATAAAAGTCGCGGAGGCATGCTGCGCGTAAGTTTTCGATTGAAGTGTTTATGTAGGTTCAAGATTTAAGGTTTGGGGGCTCCAAGTTTAAAATTGCATGATTTGATCCAGATGCCGCATGCAAAGCCATGGACGATGGCGTCGGGTGAGAATGTAAGCCTGTTGAGGGAGGCTAACGTTGGGGCCTTACTATTTTGAATAGGTTTCTTTTTTCTTTCTTTTTTTTTTTTTTT